CCACACCTAGCAGAATATCTTACTCTCCATGCTATCTGGAGCTGAGCTTCTCCACTTTGCCAGCTGCTGGTTTTGCTACCATCTCTCTGCCTTGTCATCCCTGGGAAAAATAACACCTCCCCGCCCAGAACTGTCCTTTCTCCTTGTGCACACTGCATAGTTAATGTCTCTTCCCCTTCACCATTGCCAGCCTGGCATTATTATTTTATTATCACTAGTTTCCCTTCTAGTTGGTCCCACCTGGGACATTTCCTGAATAACAGCACATAACCATCTCTGGAGGCCTGCGTGCCACGCAGCCCGGACGGATCTGGGCTCGTCTCTAAGCCATCATCTGTGCCAACCGCGCTGAAGTGCTGGCGCTCTTGCCGTTTCCCTTTGGCACACTGTGCGTAGGCTTCTGGGAGTCCTGGGGAGAGATGCACGCCCCGATTACACCTCACCCTGGGCACACTTTGGGCTTACTTTTACCTCCATTTGTCTGTTACTAATGCTGTAATTCTCCAAAAGCACTGGGGTCGTGGAGTCTCCGTTTACTGTCCGTATTTAGAGCACGGAAGCAAAACCCGAGTTCAGGGAGCTCTGGGCACTGCTTAATGCTGGCCCATCTGCTGCGGGAGGGCCCTCCCTCATGGACTGCTGCTGCCCCTAAGGATCACCCACTGGTTTCCAAGGGAGCGTCCGCATAGCAGGGTCTGTTTCCCGTGAGTGAGAGCTGCTGCGGTCCTGCCCTTACCGAGCCAAAACGTTAAATGTTTTTAGGTGTAATGGAATTACCTGATTTATGTTGCTCTGATTGCTCCAAATCAGTAAGCATGCTTTTCCTACAGCACGGCAGTACAGCTGCAGTGGAAAAGGGTTACGTGTAAGAGTATCTGCCTTTTATTAGAAGCCACCATCGATTTAATTCATCTGGGGCAAATAATTCAGCTGCAGTTGAACCATATTGTATCTGAGAGCGATGTCTGAGTCTGATAGGGCAAAAATGATCATTTAGCTTGACATCTTTTGAAAATTCTGTTAAAAAAATTCTGGAAAGAAATAAAACATTTTTCTTTCACGTGCTACTGAGGACTAAATTACAAAGGCATTTATGGAATTCTGTAAATATATTTATGCCTGGCTCAGAGGTTATATCACCTTCTGCAGGGAAGTATTTGTACAGCCTCGTCTCTCTGGAGTGACAAAAGGATGCAAAGCCGTAAGTCAAGGCTTAGCTTAGTGCAAGGTATGAAAATAAAATGTGACTCATGCACTAAATGGGATAAATTTTTAATACCCTATTTGTTGATGGCATTTTATGAATGGTGAAAATTTGATTCACTTTACAAGCACTTCGGAATTGTTACATGCCCTGTCTCTTGGAAATCCTTTCACAGGCTGTTGAGTAGTGCTGGCACTTCCTTTAAAGAGACATCGCTGTGCAGTGCTGTTTGAAATGAGGCCAGAGAGGAGATTTCCATGCCTAATGTGTTTTCTCTTTGTGATCATTCCTTAGCAAAGAAAATTCTCACCAGGATAAAGAATATATACCTACATCGGGAGGGACAGTATTTGTGTCGGGCACCTCACATAATTTCAGAGGCTCAGTGCAGAGAAGAAAGGGAATAGGTAGTAAGATCTTCATGTACAAATTCAATCCAACCTTGATACAGCCCAGACCAAGGACACAGCAGCAGACAGAGGTGTCTTTGTCTCTTCTGCCTGATCACGACCCGTGGATGTTTGGCAGTGCTGTATCACTCCATTCTAGCACTTCTTCTTGAGAACATTTGGGAGAAGGGAGGTTGTGATGACACTGTCCACCTCTCTGCTTGCCTACCGGTCCCTGCCACCCCCAGCCCTAGCTGGGCCTGTCCATGAATTTCAGGGAAATTTGGGAGTGAAATGACAGTTGCAAATGGTATCCTTGTAAGTTTGGGACAGCTGCAGTATGAACTCATCCTTCAGAAGGGAGCAGAAGAGTCTAGTTCAGATTCATTTGCCCCAGCCACAAAAGAAGTTTCAGAGCTGTGACCTTGCTGGGCGTGTGCGTCAGCTCCCCGGAGGCACAGTGGGGTGGAGGATCATGCTTCTCCGTGTAGAGTTGCATGTTTCTTAGTGCAACCGAATTCTCGCTTTAGTTTTAAGATGAAACTGATCTTTCTGTACGTGTTCTATCAGAATTCATCAGCCATGTTAAAGAAAGATAAATAAGAGGGGAAGCTGCTTGAATTCACCTCTCTTAAGACCTTCAGTTTATCATATGAAATGGCTAGGGGAAAGAACATTTCTCCACGTTGTAAGTTATGGTAAAAGCTGCCACGGAGCATGGCAAGGTGCAGTTCATACAGTAAAACACGCTGTGTGGGAGAGAAGCTGAAGTGAGTAATGGGTCATCTGCCTTGGGTGGCTATGGCTGTGAATAAGAGTGACTTCTCAACAACACTGGTGAGCGTTTCACTGCAAATCCAGAGGGAAGGCTGCTCTTACCGAAGTGTCCAAAAGGTGGCAGAGAGGCACAGGGGCTGTATGTGCACAGCCAGGAAAGCAAGGTCAGTGAAGTGTGTGAAGAGGGTAGTGCTGGGGGAACTTTCAGAAAATTTGGGGTTGATACCTGCTGTCAGGGCTGCTGAGCATCCAGTGTAGGTGTAATGACTACGCATGTAGGAGAAAAGATTCCCAAAGTAGGGAAAATAAATTTCCCAAGGGAAATTTTTAAAAATTCTATTAAAAAATTTCCAGGGGAAAAAAAACCCCAAACCACCATTTTCTTTCACGTGCTATTGAGGAATAAATTATGAAGGCATTTGTAGAATTTTATAGATACACGTTTATGCCTGGCTCAGAGATGACATCACCTTCTGAAATGAAATTGTTGTACAGCTGCTGTGATAGCAGCTTTTCCCAAGGGAGAATAAATTTCCCAGGCACCATTAAAATTGTTGCTAAACACATGGCTGTAATGTGGCAGGAGCAGGTGAAGATGGCACAGGCTGTCCCCAAAACTGGGGAGTTTAAGGATGAAAGAACCGATCACGTATCGGGGAGCACTAAGACAGGCCAGGGTGATTGAAGCTGGTTTTCCACAGTTTAGCATCTGGGTTAATTGGAATTTCAGCTGAAGGTTTCTCTCTGGTTGGAGTATTTGCAAAGCCTCTGCTTTGTGTCACTGGTTTCTAGTGAGGAGGGCGCTCTGCTGCAGCCTGTCTCCTGCTGGGGAGCCAGCTGTGATCCGTCTCCTGGTAGCTGCTCGTTTTCGTGTAACTTGTGGGACCGTAATAGCTTTGACACCATCACGTTGAGATGAAAACATCATTTTGTCACAAGGCACTGAGGGATTGGGAGTGGAAGAGAGATGTGCGCAGGCATGTATCCACACTCAGGCAGGGTGATCATATGTTTCCTGAGGAAGCCAGGCTATAAAATAAAGGTCCAAACAAGGATGAATGATGCTTCTTTCGCTTATCTCTTGACTGTACTTCTGACCAGGCTCACACTGTTAATCTTAAGATTTAGAACACTGTCCTTAATTTAAAGTTGACTTGCGGGGGCAGAGGTGACTGTGATTTGTAAATAGAAGGAAATGAGCCCTGGCCTTTAGCTGGCATAGCACAGATTAACAATCAATAGTCCAGCAGGACAGATAAATCACAAAAGCCAAGTCAAATCCTGTACAGTTAAAGGCCAGATGGATGGTCCAGATCCAGGATTGTGCCTTGTGTGGAAGGCAGGATGGATGCTCCTCTCTTTTGCAGATTTCTGACATGAGGCCTGACAGTTGGTCCTCATAAATAATGCAGAATCCTCAAACCAGAGGCAGCTGTGAGCAGGAGGAGGGAGAGGTAGAGGTGCCCAGTCAGGCTGCATAGGAGGAGCACGGCTTTACGGCAGGTCCTGCAATGTGCACAGTTCTGGGGCAGTATGGGGCGCGGGGGGACTGTGATACCCAGCCTGTTGTGGGGTGTAAGTCTTCCCAGTACATGGCAGGGCAGCCTGGAAATCGGAATTGAAGGATTGGTTATTCAGATAAGTTGTCACTGCCCTCAGCTCTGATCCTTGTATTGTGGCCCCTTATCATACGATAGAGCTACAGCCATGCGTTCCCTTCCACTGCCCATCCTGGCTGGGGCTCCAGCAACCAGACACTGCCTCCAACCCTGCCCAGCCCTGGCAGGAGGGAGAACACCCAAGCAATCCTGCCGTTGCCTTGACACAGCACACGCCTTTCAAAGTGAGTGGAATTGAGCAAGGATGAGGTCGTTAATAACACAGATTTCTGAGTGGATTTGTAATGTTACCCAGACTAACAAATAACTGCAGCAGCCCTACAATATTACCCTTAATCAGCATCCCCATCGTGTATTTGAACCCAAAGTGATGCCAAAAAAGAGAGAGACAGAGTCCTCCAAGAAGGTTTCATTGCACCTACCTGTCCACTTAACAGCCGAGTGCTGGAGATTTTGTTGGCTCACAAGTTTCGCCAGCATTGCACTTTCTCAAGAGAAAACGCTCACAACGTGCCAGAGCGCACTTGGCTGTGATTCTGCCCATGTTCTCAAGGCAGTCAGTGCTCGATGCGGCTCAGGCTTGAATCATGCGGGGAATGAAAGTTTTATAAACCCCAAACTGAGTTGAGGTACCGCAGAGGCAGAGACCTGGTTAACATGCGTGGCAGTGGCTGGTCATTCTCTACGTGGCCATCCGGTTGGCATCCGTGTGCAGCGTGTGCACATACACAGGCTCGCAGCGGGGGAGGAATACCGAAAGGCAGAGCAGACACACCCCTCCTGTTTCATCTCATCAGCGGCTCCTGCGGCTTCTCCCCGTGCTGAGCTTGGAGAAGTGCGAAAGAATAAAAGCAGCGCTCTCGCTCGTGATGCACGGCCCTGGAGCAGCCATGGGCTTTACGGGAATGACATGTACGGCTGACATCAGAGCTGGGTGTTTGCATTGGATTTCGGTGGCAGCATCGGAGGTGTGGCTTCGCAGGGACACTGTTTCAGTCTTCTGATCCAGCTAGAGGCAGCTCCATCCGAGAAGATACTCACTCGCCTGGGCTCCGCTATCCTGCTTGCATCTGACTCCTCCCTCCTGCAGCTCCGAACAGCGCAGGGTGAATCCAACAGCCTCTCCTTTCTACTATGTTTCTCCCTGAGCTACTAGAGCTTGAACGTACCTGACATTCTGCCTCCGTTTCAGCTGAACTCGTGAGTAAGGCACATTGCCGGATAACTGTCAGAAGTGAATGGCATGTTATTACCTGAACAGCCTAAATTACCCATCTTTCAGTGCTGAAAGGATTATGAAGAATTGCTTTTTATTCAGCACCTTTGCTACGTCGTTGTTGCCTGATTTTTCAAGAGCACGAGTTGTTCTGGTTATCAAGGGTACTTTCACCTGAATATTTCTTCACCAAATGCCACGAGAGAGAGTCTAGGAAAACGAACTTGTGATGTGGAGCTGACAGTTCTGGTTTCAGCTAGTGAAAACTTGCAGAGTCAGGGAGAAGGCAGAGAAAAAAATTTGCCAAGGACAATGTCGGCAATGCTTAATAATTTGACGCTCAACGGGACGAGCTTCTTTGCTGAAAATCGTAGTGTTATGGACAAGCCCAGTGAGCAGAGAACTTTGAATGTCTTTCTGTTCTGCTTGACTTTCATCCTTGCCTTCACAGCACTTCTGGGCAGCATTTATTCACTAGTTTCCCTGCTGAAAATGCAAACCAAAACCACGGTTTCAATGATCGTGACCTCTTTGTCAATAGATGATTTGATCAGCGTTGTGCCAGTGATTATTTTCATGCTCACTCAGTGGTCGAGCGACGGCCTCCCCCAGCCTCTCTGCACCACCTCAGCACTTATTTATTTGTTCCAGGGCATTTCTAGCAACCTGAAAGGGTCTCTTATAGTGTCTTACAACTTCTACGCCATCAGCAAAACTGAGACGATGAGCTGCAGCACTTCCAAGCGACGAGTGAGCATGGTGTGGGCCGTTCTTACCGTTTGGATTGTCAGTTTGCTGATCTGCATTCTGCCTCTCTGTGGTTGGGGCAAATATATCCCCACCTCCTGGGGTTGCTTCACTGACTGTGCCAGTTCCTACATCTTGTTTTTATTTACTGTCTACTCGCTGTGCTTTTGCCTCCTCACAGTACTCTCTGTTCCTCTGACGTACCAGCTGTTGTGCTCAGATGAGCAACAGCTACTACACATCGATTACCAGGAGATCTCTCGAGGCTACACCTCCCCTGGGACACCTCCAGGCTGCAGCACTGCTACCCCATCTCTGTCACCGCTGGACCCCGCGGATAAAGCCCTGAAGCATTTCCAAAATGCCTGTCCGAGCTCGGAGGCAGATTTTAGGAAGGATGTGGCTGAGAGCGGAGCACTCGAGCCCTGTTGCACCAGCAGCACCCAGAGCAGGAGCGTCACGGTGGGCTTTGCCCAGAAACGGTTCTCGCTGATTCTTGCGTTGACAAAAGTCGTTCTCTGGCTTCCCATGATGGTAAACCCTCAGATCGCTTCACTTCCTAATGCTTGCTTACATTTAAACAGCGTGTGAGCTGGTGTGCCATGGGTTGAAACAGAGGAACAGTAGCCACTGCGATTCTTCTTGCAGTATAGTTTGTGCCACAAAAGTCCTTTTAAGCAGGTCTGTGCCACTGCATGAATTTACCTGGCTTTCAGCAGGTTTGGCAGAGCCTGATTCATCAGTGTTACTCGGTCATCACATCACTTGTGCACCAGAATACAGGGAGGAATAAGGTCCACCCTTCTGTGTTGCCAGTCTCCGACAAGCATTCGTTCAGCGTTACAGGGTCTGTGGATTGTACTGAGTTAGCCCCCCCTTCAGCTGTGAGTCTCATCCTTTGCCACACTGGTTAAAAAATAGGAGTTTGTTAGAAAAATGAGGTTTGCTCGCATCTTTGTGATCTCTGGAGCACTGGGGAGGGGGGAGGAGGGCTGTCCGTGTGCATGCAGTAGTGTATTTGGGAACAGGTACGTTCATGTCTCATTAGAAAGGAGTATGGTGAGAACATGGGTCTGGGCAGTGTTGCCCCTGTCCCCGGGTTGTGAGCTGCTCGTGGTGGCAAGACAGCATTGCAGAGCGTCTGCAGCGCAGCCCTGCGTGGGGCTGAGGTCTCTCTCCTGGTGCCTGTCAGGAGCTGCGGCTCCTCAGTACCAGGTGGGAGGGACTGAGCAAGCAGCCTCTTCCAAATTGCTTGGATTGGGACTTGCTTGTTCTAATACTGCTCGGGCGTCTATATTTAGCTTAAGCAAGGGTTCTTCTGAGAAATGCAGAACGCGGAGAACCTGTCACTGTGTTTTCTCCACTCTGTGTTAGTGGAGACATAATGTCAACCTGTGTCTCACTCGTGTCATATTCATGGTGAGATGTTCTGTTTCTTCCGAAAGTACCTCGTGCCTGAAGGGATTTCAGTTTCAAAATGCTCTGTCTTTCAGATACAAATGGTTGTCCAGCACATCACTGGTTTTCAAAGCCTTCCGTTCGAGACGCTTAGCTTCTTGCTGACTTTGCTGTCTGCCACAGTCACCCCAGTGTTCATCCTGTCAGAACACTGGATCCACCTGCCCTGTGGCTGCATCATTAATTGCAGGAGGAATTCATATGCAGTGTCTTCAGAGGAACTCAAAAGTAAGTATGGAAGGGTGATGCACAGCTGGAGTGCCTCTTGTAGAAACAGGATAGGAAGTTGGTGTCAGTCACAGAGCTTTGTACTCCTGCAAGTCACTTTGAATCCTATAGACATTATTCAGAACAACGTATGAGACTTGCAGCATTCACGCGGGACAGCTGGATGGAACTAGTGGATGCTGAGACACAGAAGCTTGGCTGATCTTCCCAGGTCACTGCCAGATCTTTTAGCAGAGTCTGATGGACTCTGAATCCTAGTTTTGCTCTCCTCTCCTACCCTGGGAAAGATGTGTCTACCCAAGACTGACTTCTAATCAAATACATGGAACATGCTAAACGTGTAATGTTGTGGGGGGAAAAAAACATGCTAATTGCAGGCAAACTATAAGGAGAGGAACTACTGTGTGCACCCCTGCCCCATAGCTACTGACCAGAAATCACAGCAACACCAGTAAGCAAACAGCAGAGGAGGTGCTGTTTGATACAGGCGCGGCCTGTATCTCCAGGCTGAGGAACATTGAAAGCTGAGGAACTCCTACACAGTTTTGGTTTAAAAATATTTCCCTGCATGTATGAAGGTTACCTTGGTTTAGCAGAGGATGCCAGACCTTCACTGGTGACCTTCGTGGAATGTTCTAAGCCTGTTTTTCTCTGGCTGGAGGAATCCCTGCACATGCTGACTCTGCCACAGCTCATCTCCTGCAGTTGCATGACTTTTGTTCTTTCCATAAAGAATTGTTCGTGTGGTAATACTCCGTATGAGAAACAGAAGACAGAGAAATGCAGCTGTCACCCATGAACTTAACCTCTACTGAAAAACACATTCAGGCTTCTGCAGCCATGGATAACATTGTCATTTTCGTGGCTAAAAGTCTGCCTCATGTTCTCCTGAAAATGCCCTGGCACGGTGACTTGCGAAACACCTCGGTCTGTGGTGCTCACCTATCTGCACGGAGGGATTGCTTTTTGAGTTACGGGGGAAAATACGTTTTTCGTACATGACACTGGTATTCTTATGAGAAGTGTTTGCTATTGAATTCTTCTATTGAAGCTTATTATACCTACTAATGCAAGATCAGTATCTTTATAAGTGATTAGTTTACATTAATTACACCCAGGTGTCTGCATGTGTGTTCATACACGTTCGCTTTCTGAGACAGCCGAAAATGTACAAACTTACAAAATTCAGCTGTTCTACAGTAGGTAATTATGGAAAGTTTGAAGGATTTTAATCTGCCACAGGGCATTAAATATATCTATCTGTGAGATCTCTCTTAATATATCATAAACATGCTCCGGAAACAATATCAGTAAGGAAGCCTGCAGGGAGGGAAGACAGAGCAATAGTTGGTTTTTTGGATTTATGTACATTATCAAGAATAACTTAACAGAAAAATAATTAAAATTTCCTATTTAAAATGCTGCAATTATATTCATCTATAAATTGATAGATTTATGCATTAATCTTCCAGAAGTGAGGGTTGCAGTGCTAATGTTTGATATGGTTGTCCCTTGAGGCCTGGTTCAAGGGGAATTGAAAGTGCTGGCAAGTTTTATTTAGTAAGTTAGAAGAGGAGTTAGAAGGGACCTACAAGGATCATCTAGTCCAGCTGCAAAAGTTAAGAGCTAAATGCTTCCGAGTATCTGGATGTGGTTTCCGATTCTCTGGAGCGAAAGTCCTCTGACACAGTGGATGAATTCCTGAGATTCACTGCATTTTTAGGGAGAAATAAAGCTCCTGAATTCTCATTCAAGGCTTTCACTGCTTTGAACAAGTTTTCCAAATGCAGAATGGCTTGTGCTGCAACTGATGACGTTCTAAGCCCTCTCGCGGAGAGGATGACTGTAGTTCATCAAGAAGGCTGTTTATTAGCGATGTGATTAATGATGCTGTTTAGAGAGATCGAAGTACAACAGATGGAAAAGTTGCAATTACAAAATTATTTTAAATAAATCTGTGACTTTCAGATATTCGCACTAAAGCCAACCCTCAAGTTTTAACGCAGTGATTGCTGAGGTCAGAATTTTACCCATGATTCTGTATGATCTAGTAAGCACACAAACTGTTGAGTAGAAATATGAATTGTATAAATGTATCCCCATGACCTTTATTGTATAATTTACCCTGAAAGGTTTGGTGGGAAGATGATCAGATGATTTCATTAGTTAAATAAAAGACACTTCCTTAGTTACTACATAATGTAAGATGAAAAAGGGGAGGCTGAAGAATCTCGGGTGATTTGTGTTAGAATGGAGGAGGAATGAAAGGGAATACCTAACGATTGAGACTTTTTATTTAGTTGTTCAATTACTGTGTAAGATTAGTGGGAGCACTGGGTTTAGAAGGGAGAATACACAAATATTTTGTTGTGAAAATACTTCAGATATTTATTTTTACTGTAGAAATCTGTTTTTCTTGCTTGACTGTCAATACTGAAGGTTAGTTACATATTCTCAGAAATGTTTTACAGTTTTCTACACTTTTTCCCCTTTAAGAATGTAGCCGAAACAGGCTTAGAAAAAAGAGTATTACAAAATTTTGATATTTTCTTCTTGTATGTTTTTCCCATAAACATGTATCGTGTGTTTTTGAAAATAGCAGGTAATCTACCATTTTATGGGAATCCATTAACTTGGGAATGTATAATTTCTGAATTCATAAAGAAGGCAGTATAATAACATGCTATCTGAGAAGTCTTTCTTCTCAACAGCACATTCTTTTCATGGACAGAAATGCCTGTTTCTAGCTGTAGTTAAATAACTTATTCCATGTTTTAGAATATCATTTTCACTGGGTAATCTCATTTTTCTTCTTGGTTTTGACTCTTTTTCATACGACGTTTCTTTCCTTTCTCCTAGCCAAACGTAGGGGGTTCGAATTCAACCTGTCCTTCCAGCAAGGGTACGGCATCTACAGAATATCCCATGAAAACCACCACCACCACCAGGGAGATGGGAAATCTCTGTCCTATGACCACCTGGTGAGCTATGACTGCGACAACCCCCAGGCAGCCCCGAGAGGAGGCGGCGATGCCCCCGGCGCCGGGCAGGAGGCGTTCAGCACCACGGCGGCGGC